GGGAGACCTCGGAGGTATCTTGGACTCTCTTGGGCCGTCTTGGAGGCCGTCAAGGACCATCTTGGGCGGACTTGGAGGCCATCTTGGACCATCTTGGAGGCCATCATGGGCCAACGTGGCCATCTTGGAGTCCATCTTGAGCGTCGTCTTGGAGGATTTTTTCCCTGGATTGAGGTCCTGGGTAATCCTCCTGGCGCCCCAGCGCGACGGGCCGAAGCCCCAGGGGGAGTTCTTTTAGAAAAGAACCAAAACCGCAATCGTCTAGCACGCCAGGGACCCCTCTTGCAAGCAACAGGGGGCGGTGGATCCAAGACGCCTACGGCGAATCACCGCCGCCCCCTGCCTTCGTGGAAGCGCCTATGTGGCCGAACGTTGAGGCCAGACCTGCCAAGCTATCGGACCATGTGTTCCCCGAATCGGTTTGGAAAGCCTTCGGGGAACACGTGGGCATCTTGAAGGTCATCTTGGCCGTCTGGCGGCCATTTTGACCCTTTCGGGCCTTCTTGGAGGACGTCTTGGAGGTCTCTTGGGCCGTATCGGGCGGTCGGAAGGCCGAAATGAAGCACATGTCAAAATCCTTCGAACACCTAAGGAAAATCAGTATTGTTGGCCTTTTCTTCCGGCCTTCTGGATGCCCTCTTGGAGGAGCCTCTTGGGCCGTCTTGGGCCAGCTTCGAGCCAATTTCGGCCATCTTGGTGGGCTCCTGGCCCGTCTGACGCCGTCGGGAGCCGTTTGGGGGGCCTTTCTGGACCGACTTGGGGCCCTCTTGGGGTGCTCCATGGCCGTCTTAGAGGCCATCTTGGGCATCTTGGAGGCCTCTTGGGTCGTCTTTGTGCCCTCTTGGGGCCGTCTTGGGGGCCTCTTGGGCAGTCCTGAGGCCATCTTGGAGGCCTCTTGGGCGCTGTGGGGGCGATCTTGGGGGCCTCTTGGGCCATCGTAGGTCGTCGGAAAGATGAGAAGAGGCGAATGCGAAAGTCCTTCAAAAACCAAAGGACAATCAATGATTTTGGCCTCTTCGGGCCCTCCTGGCCTCTTGGAGGCCTCTTGGGCCATCTTGGAGGCCTCTGGGAGGCCTCTTGGGCCGTCTTCGGCCGTCTTGGACTCTTGGGCCGTATGGGAGACCGTCTTGGACCATCTTGGGCGGACTTGGAGGCCATCTTGGACCATTTTGGAGGCCATCTTGGGCCAACGTGGCCATCTTGGAGACCATCTTGGGCCATCTTGAGCGAAACATTGGGAAGACTGCGGGCCTTCTGGGTGGCCGGCGGGACGGGCCGAAGCCCCAGGGGGAGTTCTTTTTGGAAGCCCCTACGGCGAATCACCGCCGCCCCCTGCCTTCGTGGAAGCGCCTATGTGGCCGAACGTTGAGGCCAGACCTGCCAAGCTATCGGACCATGTGTTCCCCGAATCGGTTTGGAAAGCCTTCGGGGAACACGTGGGCATCTTGAAGGTCATCTTGGCCGTCTTGAGGCCATTTTGACCCTTTCGGGCCTTCTTGGAGGACGTCTTGGAGGGCTCTTGGGCCGTCTTGGAGGCCATCTTGAGCGTCTTGGGGGCCTCTTGGGGCCGTGTCTTGGGCCTCTTGGGCGATCTTTGGGGGCACTTGGGCCGTCTCGGGCCGTCGGAAGGCAGAAAAAACGCAAATGCCACAATCCTTCAACAACTCAGGGGAAATCACTGATTTTTGCCTTTTCGGGCCTTCCTGGAGGCCCTCTTGGAGGCCTCTTGGGCCGTCTTGGGCCGTCTTAGGGCCATGTTCGGCTGTCTTGGTGGGCTCCTGGTCCGTCTGACGCCGTCGGAAGCCGTTGGGGGGGCCTCTATGTGCCGGGGGGCCTCTTGGGGCCGTCTTGGGGCCCTCTTGGGCTGTTCTGGGGCCATTTTGGAGGCCTCTTCGGCGATCTTTCGGCGATCTTCGGGGGCTCTTGGGCCGTCTCGGGCCGTCGGAAGGCCGAAAAGAAGCAAATGTCAAAATCCGTCACAAACCGTAGGAACATCAAAGTTTTAAGCCTCTTCTGGCCTTCCTGGAGGCCCTCTTGGGGGCCTCTTGGGCCGTCTTGGGCCAGCTTCGCGCCACCTTTGGCCATCTTGGTGGGTTCCTGGCCCGTCTGACGCCGTCGGGAGCCGTTTTGGGGGCCTTTCTGGGCTGATTTGGGACCCTCTTGGGGCGCTTCGGGGCCGTCTTGGAGGTCATCTTGGGCGTCTTGGAGGCCATCTTGGGCGTGTTGGAGGCCTCTTGGGCCGTCTTGGGGCCCTCTTGGGGCCGTCTTGGAGGCCACTTGGGCCCCATGAGGGCCTCTTGGGTGATCTTGGGGGCCTCTTGGGCCGTCTTGGGCCGTCGGAACGCCAAAAAGGCGCAAATGCCAAAATCCTTCAAACACCTAAGGAAAATCAATGAGTTTTCCCTTTCGGGCCTTCCTGGAGGACGTCTTGGAGGGCTCTTGGGCCATCTTGGAGGCCTCTTGCGGGCCTGTTGGGCAGTCGTAGAAGACCATCTTGAGGCCATCTTGGGCCGTCTTGGAGGCATCTTGGGGCCATCTTAGCCTTCTTGGAGGCCATTTTGGGCCGTCTTGGAGACGTCTTGGAGACCATCTTGGGCCATCTTGACCGTCTTGGACGCCATCTTGGGCCAACTGGAGGAAACAGAGGCACGACGGACGCGTTTTGAGATCCTTTCCGGATGGCCGGCGGGACGGGCCGAAGCCTCAGGGGGGGTTCTTTTGGAAAAAAGGAAATAACAAAAGTCATATCATCCGGCACGCCAGGCACCCCTTTGATAAATCAAAAGGGGGCGGCGGATCGAAGACGCCTACGGCGAATCACCGCCGCCCCCTGCCTTTGTGGAAGCGCCTATGTGGCCGAACGTTGAGGCCAGACCTGCCAAGCCATCGGACCATGTGTTCCCCGAATCGGTTTGGAAAGCCTTCGGGGAACACGTGGGCGTCTTGATGGTCATCGTCGCCGTCTTGGAGGCCTCTTGGGCGATCTTTCGGCGATCTTTGGGGGCTCTTGGGCCGTCTCGGGCCGTCGGAAGGCCGAAAGAAGGGAAATGCCCAAATCCATCAAAAACCTTGGGAAAATCAGTGATTTTGGCATCTTTTGGCCTTCCTGGAGGCCCTCTTGGGGGCCTCTTGGGCCCTTTTGGGCCAGCTTCGAGCCAACTTCGGCCATCTTGGTGGGTTCCTGGCACGTCTGACGCCGTCGGGAGCCGTTTTGGGGGCCTGTCTGGGCCAACGGGGGACCCTCTTGGGGCGCTCCAGGGCCGTCTTGGAGGCCATCTTGGGCGTCTTGGAGGCCATCTTGGGCGTGTTGGAGGCCTCTTGGGCCGTCTTGGGGCCCTCTAGGGGCCATCTTGGAGGCCACTTGGGCCATCAGGGGGCTCTCTTGGGGGCCTCTTGGGCGATCTTGGGGGCTTCTTGGGCCGTCTTGAGCCGTCGGAGAGCCGAAAAGGCGCAAATGCCAAAATCCTTCAAAAACCAAGGAAAATCAATGATTTTGCCCTCTTCGGACTCTCCTGGAGGACCTCTTGGAGGCCTCTTGGGCCGTCTGGGAGGCCTCTGGGGGGCCTCTTGGGCCGTCTTGGGCCGTCTTGGACTCTCTTGGGCCGTTTTGGAGGCCGTCTTGGACCATCTCGGGCGGACTTGGAGGCCATCTTGGGCCATCTTCGCGATTTTTTGAGGATGTCCCGAGCGAAACGGCCGTTTTTGCGCACGGTGGCGGGTTCTGCCGGAGCCCACTGGGGAGTTCTTTTGGAAAAAGAACCAAAACCAAAACCTAACAGCTCATCCAGCACGCCGTGCACCCCTGCAAGCAGGGGGCGGCGGATCTGATGGCCTTCCGGCCCATCCCGCCACCATGCTTGGGTTGTGGGTATAAAGCCCAGTGGATGTTCGTTGGGATGTCGTGGGGGGCTTCTCGGGGACCTCTTGGAGGCAGTTTGGATGCCTCTTGGGGGCCGTGTGGGGGCCTTGTGGGCCTTTTTGGGGCCTTTTGGGGGCCTCTTGGGGCCTCTTTGGAGCCTCTTTGGGGTCTCTTGGGGCCCCCTGGCGCCTCTTGAGGTCTCCTGGGGGTCTCTTGGGGCAGAAGGCTCGGACTTTCGGTTCGTATTCCCTCTTTTGGGCTCCTTTTGGGGCCGTCTTGGGGCCCTCCCAGACAATGGGCTTCCAGGAGGAGGCGTGGGCGGCCGCGGCAGCGATCGGCCACCTCGGTGTATGAGCTCTTGTAACTATAGACAGTATTCCCTCTTCCTCCTGCTCCTGCTCCTGCCCCCCTTCCTTCTCCTCCTTCTGCCTCGCCGCCCATCTTGTGCTTCGCAGTCGGGTGCTCCATCTTCTGCTTCACAGTCGGGCGCTCCATTTTCTGCGTCACAGACGTGATGCGTTCCGTTTTTCATTTCTAATGTAGTAATTCCCGAAGGGTTGCCAATTGCGCGCTCTTCTGCCTACGCGTTCTTCCGGATGCTTGGCTCTGTGGTGGTGGTGGTGGGGCCCTCTTGAGTCGGGCGCCTCTTGGGTTGTCTTGGGGCTTTCTTGGGCCGTTGTGGTGCCCTCTTGGAGGTCTCTTGGGCCGTTTTGAGGCGGCCTCGGGGGCCTCTAGGACCGTCTGGGAGCGTCGGGAAGCCGAAACAATCTAAGGACAATCAAGGATTTAGGCCTCTTGGGGCCCTCGTGGGGGTGCTGTTGGAGGCCTCTGGGACCGTCTTGGAGGTGTCTGGGCCCGTCTCGAGGCTATTGACAATGTCTTCGAGCTATGTTTCGGCGAGTTGGGGCTCTCTTGGACCATTGTGGGCGGGCACAGCGTCCACAGGACTGCAGGAAACACCCCGGAACTCACAGAAGTCAGCCCAGGGAACCCCAGGACGGCCCGGGACGGCCCAGGACGGCTTGGGAAGCGGCTGGCGCGGGCCCGTAAGGACTTACGACTCCGGCTGCAGCAGCACAGCCTTCCAGCGCTGGATGAGCCTCCGGGCATTCCACTTTGCGCCGGAGACCCCTCGCTGATCCCTGACGGCTTGGGCACCTCCACTCCGGTCCGCTCCCCAAGGGGTCGGGGGCCCCTCTCCGTAGCCATTCGGCCTCGAGGGAGGCACTCCCTGCGCAGGGCCCGCCGGCCAGGGGCCCCGAGGCCCAGCCTCGATCCCCCACGCCGGCCGGGGGCATGGAGCCGGCGGAGGAGGCGCCGCCCGCGGCGGGAGACGGGGCGCGGGCCAGGCTCGCCTACCTCCTCGCGCCGCCTGGCAAGGTGGCCGCGGGCGCCCAGGACCCGCCCCTCGGCGCCTCGGCGGCGGGCGCGTCGGCGTCCACCGAGGCCGGCGAGGACCGCGCCGCGAGCGGCTCCGAGGCCGCGACGCCTCCGAGGCGCGCGGCGAGGCCTCTTACGGAGGCGGGGGCGCCGCCCGCGGTGCTGGGCATCGCCAGCGCGGAGTGCCGGGGGTGCGGCGCGCCGGAGGCGAAGACGGACAGGGTCCTCGCGGAGCTCGGGCACATCTTACCAGCCTCGAGCGTATCCCGATCCCTAAGATTGACACGCCAAAAAAGGCGATGACAATCTTAGGGATTCGCCCTCAAAAAATGAGGGAGCCCCAGAGATGGGCATCGTGATGAGGAGGTGCCCAGCACAGGGATAGGGATGTGTTCCAGGCTGGTAAACATCTACTGCGAGCGGTGCTGGGGCTCCTGGGAGCGCTGCGGCTGGTGGCGCCCGACCGTGCGCATCTCCACGACGCCGCCGCCGCGCGGCCCCGCGGACGGCCTGCCGGACTACGGGCCGGAGGCCGTCTTCTGCCTGCCCGCCTTCCTGTGCGGCCACGAGGTGGAGGGTTTCTCCGAAGGGCTTAGGCGACCCGACCCGTCCTCCTCCTCCACCTCCTCCTCCTCCTCCTCCTCCTCCTCCTCCTCCTCCTCCTCCTTCTCCTCCTCCCCCTCCTGCACCTCTTCCTCCTCCTCCTCCTGCACCTCCTCCTCCTCTCCTCCTCCTCCTCCTCCTCCTCCTCCTCCTCCTCCTCCTCCTCGGGTCGCCTACGGCCCCGGGGGAAACCGTGCACCACGAGGACATGTCGCTGCTGGCGCAGCTGTCCTCGGACCTGCCACAGGGCCGGGAGTTTTCGGACTGGCACGGCGCGCGGCACCTCGGCATGCAGTTCGAGGGCTCTGGCGCCCGCCACGACGGCGCGGATGCCCCGCCCGCGCTGCAGAAGCTGGTGGCGAAATTGGAGGCGGCGTTCGGCATTCGGGCCTCGGCCTCGAGGCTGAACCTCTACAGGTCCGCGGAGGACTACAAGCCGTTCCACTACGACCGCGGCAGGGACAGCCAGGGCGTGCCACAGGTCACGGTGGGCGCCTCCTTCGGGGCCACCCGCGAGCTGACGCTGATGCACGTGGCATCCGGCGTGACCATGGAGTTCCCCATGCACAACGGCGACGTGTTCGCCTTCACCCCCGAGGTCAACAGCGTGTTCATGCACGGGGTGCCGAGGGCGAAGGCGAGGGGCGGTGCCGGCGAGCAGCCGCGGATGTCGCTGATCCTGTGGGGCTCCAGGGTGCAGCTACTCGGCGAGCGGCCGTGACCCGCGCGGGGGGCGCCTCTGGCCGCCGAGGGGGGGCGGGCACCTGGGGGGAGGAGCAGGTGCGCTTGTCGTTGAGAGTCTTCCTGCCTCCCTCCCTTCCTCCTCCTCCCTCCTCCCTCCTCCCTTTTTCCTCCCTCCTTCCTCCTGCCTCCTCCCTCCTCCCTCCTCCCTCCTCCCCCCCCCTTCCCCCCTCCCCCTCCCCCTCCCCCCCCTCCTCCTCCTCCTCCTCCTCTTCCTCCTCCTTCTCGCAGGGGATTTTGCAAGTCGTACCCCACAGCTCCTTTGCGGGCGTTTCGACTTTGACCCCCTTAAACGGATGTCCTGTCCTGTTCCCTTCCCCCTCCCCCTCGCCCTTCCCCTTCCCCTACTCCTCCTCCTCTGGTGGTGTCGGGAGCCGGAGCCATCGCGGTCGAGGCGGGAGCCTGCAGTGGGGGCATCAGCTCCTCGGCAGGGAACGGCTGCCGTACGGTGGGGCGCACGGCAGCGAGAAGGTCTTGCAGAAAAAGGCGCGACTGGAAGGGTGAGGGGTCCCTTCATTGCTAATCATCTTTCCTCCTCCTCTCTTCCCTTTCCCTGGCTAGCACATTATGAGAGCCTGGTGTACCCTCTTCGCGTCGATTAGTGTCCATTAGCGTCGATTATATCGTTTGGAAGTCGATGCGGTAGCGCCGATCTGACGTCGGCTAGCGTCGATCAGCATCGACTTTGCGTCGATTTGCGTCGATGCAGCGTCGAGGAGCGTCGATTCGCAAGAGCCGACACGATGGTGTGGGAGGCGCCCATGGGTTGCCACCGGACTTTCCCGTCCCGTCCTCCTCTCTGGCGAGGGCCGTGGCGGGGCGCAGAGCCTCTCGACGCAACGAGAAGTGCCCGCGCTGCGCGCGGTTGGCACGAAGAAGCGCGGAACACCTCTTGGACGGAACGTCTCGAAGGAGAAACAGCGGCATACACCGGCGTCGAGCGAGGGAGGTGAAGCGAGACGGAAGCGGCCTTCTCGGAAGGTTCGGAAGCCCCCGCCCCCCACTTCTGAGAAGCTTTCTGAGCCTTCCTCGAAAACCAACAGCACTTTCGCAGAATGCGCGAGGGCTTCCGAGAAGTCCTGCCGCCTTCTGGGCAGGTTTTGCTTTTCATTCCCTTCCCTCGCGCACCGCCGAACACAGTGGAGACCCATGACAAGATATGCTACAAGGTCGGTGTACAATATGTTCGGGTCGGGCGCGCGCCTCCAAGAAGAACATACAGTACTAGTATCAGGTTGGGCATGCCATCCTACAGGCGGATCTACGAGGAACAATTAAACATAGTTAGAACGTGTTCAGACATAGTAGAACATAGTCCAACAATCGGCCCCCGACTATTTCTGGTTTATGTTTGCATATTCCTCCGGTACTGGAACACGCCCGATTTAATTCATGGAGATGGAGTAGATCTTTGCTGTTTTGGGCACCTGTTTCAAACAGGTGGAATCTCCCCCAGAGGACGCACAGCCGCAACCAGTCGCACTCAGCAGAGGTCCCGAGCCAGACCTTCCTCTCTCCGCCCTTCCGCTTAATGTCGAAACGCCGAATAAGAAAACGATCACCAGGGTACCTTTTGTTTCTTGGGTCTCGATGGTTCTGCCGTGGAAAGCGCGACGTTCCCACACCAAACCAAGCAGTCGATGCCCTGGGGTCTCAGGATTGGGTTTCTTGTGGAAGGTTTCTTGTGGTCGAGCTCCTACTGTATACATTAACTTTGGAGCTCCGCGCGGATCTCTTGGATCGGCGCTGAGGCCCTTCTGGCGGCGCCTCCGGCGACGCCCCTGGCGCGCAGGAGCGCGCCAGGGAGGGGGTTTCGGCGCGGATCTAAGACATCCGCGCGAGCCTCCAAGAGTGTTTGTGTATGCCGTTGCTCCTTCCTCGAAAATGTCTGCGGCGACGTCGCTCACCTGCCAGTAGAACGTCGCGCTAGCTCTGCCTAGCATGTCGGGCTGCAGGGTGGACACTCAGAGGATGGGCACATGCACCTCGTACCTTGTGTAGCTGTTGGAATACTTGTTGAGAGCTGGCCACAAGTTGGCATCGTCGCCTCTTTTTGACGATCGGTATTGCGGGTCAGCATCTCGTTTCTCAGCAAGGGTTTGTTGCCATGCAACTGTTACTTCATCCGCCTGAGCGCGCAGAGCATTTGCTGTGACCGATTGTCGCAAGTCCTGTGACTGAGGTCATCGTATCTATCGTCCGTTCGCCTTCACGGACGGACGACAACACCATTTGTTCGGGGCCCGCGCTGGAGAACATTTGTTTGCCCAGTAGCCGCACGGAGCGACGAGGCGGCCGCCGCTCGTGCAAAGCGGCGAGTGATGGAGCAATGAGGAGGAATAAAATTACAAATTATCTTATCTATGCGGAAGAAGAAGAAGCAATGAGGAATAATAATAATGTGAGCAATGAGGAGGAAGAAGAAAGCAAAGCAAAGTATCCATCGCCCGTCCGTCTCCGCGGGCCCGGCCAGGAACACGGAGCGCGAGGGGCGCCGCCGGTGGAACGGACAGCGGCAAATTTAGCCAGCAGATCAGCCGGAGACCAGCCAGGCGGCGTGACTGCGAGAGTTGGCGTGGCCTTCGTGGGCGTGGCCTTCAAAGGCGTACTCCGAACTTCTTTTTCCCTACCTGGGCTCTGCCTAGAACGGGTCTTACTCTCTAGCTTAAAGGGGCCGGGCAGTGGAAAGCGCCCCGGGCGGTTCCCCCAGTCCCCTGGGAGCGGTTCCCCCAGTCGCCTGGGAGCTCTAGCTTTAGCTTTAGCTTTAGCGTTAGCTTTAGCTTGTGCTTTAGTTTAGCTTTAGCTTAGCTTTAGCTTTAGCTTTAGCTTAGCTTTAGTTTAGCTTTAGCTTAGCGTTTAGCTTAGCGTTTAGCTTAGCGTTTAGCTTAGCCTTTAGCTTAGCCTTTAGCTTAGCCTTTAGCTTAGCCTTTGCTTAGCTTTAGGTTGGCTTTAGCTTAGCTGTAGCTTAGCTTTAGCTTAGCTTTAGCTTAGAGTTAGCTTAGCTGTATCTTAGCTTTAGCTCAACTTTTGCTCAGCTTTAACTTAGCTTTAGCTTAGCTTTAGCTTAGCTTTAGTTTATCTTTAGCTTAGTTTTAGCTTAGCGTTAGCTTAGCTTTAGCTTAGCGTTAGCTTAGCTTTAGCTTAGCTGTGGCTTAGCTTTAGCTTAGCTTTACTGTTACTACTAATGCTGCTTTCCTAGGGGTTCCAACTCCTAGGTAGGGTCGCACTGGGATAATTTAATCAACGGGGTGGTGGCAAACGTGAAAAAGCGGCGCGGCCCCCCCCCCCCCCCACCACGCCACCCCCGCGCCCCAGCAGGGAAGGGATCGAACCCCAGACCCCCCCTGGCACCCCCGCGGACGCTCCGCGGCCAATCCGCCCGGGCACTCCAAGGGGGGGCGATTATCGACTAGACGTAAGAGTGACCTTTCGCCGGAGTGACCCCCAGACCCCCCCTGGCACCCCCGCGGACGCTCCGCGGCCAATCCGCCCGGGCACTCCAAGGGGGGGCGATTATCGACTAGACGTAAGAGTGACCTTTCGCCGGAGTGACCTTTGGTGCTGGCACAGATGGGTCCCCAGGCGGCCGAAAACGAAGCAGGAGCAGCGGCTTGTGCGTCCAGGTTTGGTCCCCCTGCGGCCCCCCAAAAGGCGCGCACCAAAGGTCACTCTTACCCAGGGTCACTCTCGCGTGTAACCGAGATTATTAAGAGATCCAGAGTAGCTTTCAACGGCGCGATCTTCTCCAGCGAAGCGGCACGCGCAGCGGAAGCTCACTGAGAGTCAGCGCCTGCGCTGCCGGCGTCGCCGATGCGCCGAAGCTTCACGGGCGGAGGAGGAGGAGGAGGAGGAGGAGGAGGAGGAGGAGGAGGAGGAGGGGGGGAGGAGGAGGAGGAGGGATGGAGGACGGGAGGGAGGGGAGGGGAGGGAGGGAGGAGGAGGGAGGAGGAGGAGGAGGGAGGGGAGGAGGGGAGGAGGAGGAGGAGGGGGAGGAGGGAGGAGGGGAGGAGGAGGGGTGAGGAGGAGGAGGAGGAGGGGAGGGGAGAGGAAGGAGGCGGAGGAAGGGAAGGGAGGAGGAGGGAGGGAGGGAGGAGGGAGGAGGGAGGGTGGGGGGGAGGGAGGGAGGGTAGGGAAGGGAGGGGAGGAGGGGGGGGGGAGGGGGAGGAGGGGGGATGAGGAGGGGAGGAGAGAGGGGGAGGGGGAGGGGGAAGGATGGTAGGAGGAGAGGAGGCGGAGGAGGAGGAAGGGAGGAGAGGAGAGGAGGAGGAGGAGGGAGGGCAGGTGGGGGGTGGAGGGGGAGGAGGGCCATCATGCCCCCCGACGCCCTGGGCAGATCGGGAGGGGCGCTGCGGGACCCCCTTCCCGGCGAAGGGCTTCTGCAAGCATTTTCGCCAGACGCGCTCTCGGCGCCGACATCCGTGCCACGGCGTTTTCAGATCCCCTCTGGAGCACGGGTCCACATCCACATCGGTTGCCCCGGCGGTGGATGCCTATCGGTCGCTGAAAGCAGGCACGTCTGGATTCCCCAGCTTCGGCTCTGCCTCAATCAGGAGGGAAAGAAACACACCGACACAATGAATCGTCGACTCCCAGGAAAACATGGGAAAGTATGGGAAGTGGGGGGGGGGGAAGACAAAAGCCCAGAAAATATGGGATAATATGGGGAATCCTTTGATTTGTGTGTCTTTATTTGTGTGTCCTGGGGCCCTTTCACTTAAGGCGCCTCCTCCCCCTCCTCCCCCTCCTCCTCCTCCTCCTCCTCCTCCCCCCCCTCCTCCTCCCCCTCCTCCTCCCTCTCCTCCTCCTCCTCCCCCTCCTCCTCCTCCCTCTTCTCCTCTCCTCCCCCTCCTCCTCCTCGCCCCCCCCAGACGACGGAGCCCCTGGGGCCCCTTCACTCAAGGCGCCTTCCTGCCTCGATGCGCCGGTGGCCTCGCCTCTGCCGCCCGCCGCGGGGCCTTGGGCGGAGCCCCGCTCCGCTCCCGGCGCCCCTCCGGCTGCCTGCTCCTGCCCCCGCCTCTTCCGAACGGTGGTCAGGAGGGGACACAACACGCAGGCACAACTTGATCCTCGATCCCCCTCCTCCTCCTCCTCCTCCTCCTCCTCCTCCTTCTTCCCCTCCTCCCCCTCCTCCCCCTCCTCCTCCCTCTCCTCCTCCCTCTCCTCCTCCTCGATCCCCCAGAAAAGTTGGGAAAATGTGGGGCGTGGGGGGGGAAGACAAACACCCAGAACGTATGGGAACACAACGGGCCTCTGGTTATTTGTCTGTATGTGTGTGTGTGTGTGTGTGTGTGTGTGTGTGTGTGTGTGTGTGTGTGTGTGTGTGTGTGTGTGTGTGCGTGCGTGCGTGCGTGCGTGTGTGCGTGTCGTGCGTGCGTGCGTGCGTGTGTGTGTGTGTGTGTGTGTGTGTCTTTTTGTGTTTGTCCCAGGGCCCCTTCAGATGGGCATGGCCAAACCACCGCCTCGCAGTGCAACCGCTTCCTCCCCCCTCCCCCCTCCCTCTCCCCCTCCTCCTCCTCCTCCTCCTCCCCCTCCTCCTCCTCCCCCTCCTCCCCCTCCTCCCCCCCCCCTCCTCCTCCTCCTCCTCCCCCTCCTCCTCCTCCTCCTCCTCCTCCTCTTCCCTCCTCCTCCTCCTCCTCCTCCCGCTCCTCCCCCTCCTCCTTCTCCTCCTCCTTCTCCTCCTCCTCCTCCTCCTCCTCCTCCTCCTCCTCCTCCTCCTCCTCCTCCCTCCTCCTCCTCCTCCTCCCCCTCCTCCCCCTCCTCCCCCTCCTCCCCCTCGCCCCCCCCCCCCAGACGACGGAGCCCCGGGGCCCGGCGCCCGGCCCCGGGCAGGGGCCGCGCGGCGCGGCACTGCGCACGGCGCGCACGGCGCGCGCGCGCGTCTCTTTCCCTCGCGGCGCAGAGCCTTCCCTCGGAGGCCTCTCCGCGCGGCCCTCGCGGAGGCGGGAGGCGTCGCGCCCCTTCTCGGGAGGGGAGAGACACACACACAGACACAATCGATCGTCGGCTCCCAGGAAGACATGGGAACATATGGGAAGTGTGGGGGGGGGGACACACACCCAGAAGGTGTGGGAAATGGGGGGGGTCTTGTTTAATTTGGGTGTATCTAATTGGGTGTAGAGGGAAACAATTACTGAACATACGCTAGAGGGAAACAATTACTGAACACCCCCCCTCCCCCCCAGACTCAGTGTTGGCACGCGCGGGGGAGACTGCGGTCGAAGAGTGCATCCCATCAGACCCACCGCCAACTTTGAACATTGGGGGGGGAGGCGTTGACAGCTGAATGTGGCATGTGTTCGCTAATTTGTTCCGAGGCCTGAATGGGATGTGGGGGGGGGACACACACCCAGAAGGTGTGGGGAAAATATGGGGGGTCTTTTTCTTTGCGTGTATTTCTTTGTGTGTCCCAGGGCCCCTTCACCCTCGCGGCCCTCGCGGGAGGGGAAACACACCCACAGGCACAACCAATCGTCGACTCCCAGGAAAACACGGGAACATATGGGCATATGGGAAGTGGGTGGGGGGACAAATACCCAGAAGGTGTGGGGAAAATATGGGGGGTCTTTTTCTCTGTGTGCATTTATTTGTGTGTCCCAGGGCCCCTTCGCCCTCGCGGCGAGGCGCGGCGCGCCAGGGCGCGGTGCGGCACGGCACCTGGCGTGGCACGGCGTGGCAGCGCTGCAGTGCAGTCGGGCTTGTCGCTCTGCAGGAGGCATATGCAAAAGATAGTCAGAACATGGCCTGGGGACGTTTTTTGTTTGTTTGTTTTTTTGTTTAAAAAAATAATATTATTTATTATTATTATTTTAATTTTCTTTTCTAAAACATCGTATTCTCATTATGATTATTATTATGATGATTATTACTATGTTTACGATTCTGGTTATTATTCTTCTTCTTCTTCTTCTTCTTAATCTTATTATGTTATACATATATACAAGACAAACAACAATATAATAAGTAACATAAACATTCAAACATATTATGTTGTGATTATTTGGGGGTGTTTTGTTTTGGCTAGTTTTATTGTCGTCCAAAATCCCCCTGTAGGAGGACGTGGAGACCCATGCCAAGAAACACCCTGCTTGCCTCCAGGGTGCCCTGGGTGTCTTGGGTTTCGAGGGTTCTGCTGTGGAAAGCGTGACGCTCCCGCACCAGAACTCAGTGGACGTCCTGGGGTCTCAGGGTTGGGTTCCTTGTGAAAGATTCTTGTGGGCTGGCCTCCGCTGTAGGGAAACAGGCAATGACATAAATATACAGGCTCGGAGACCCACGCGGATTTCTCGCATCGGCCCTGGACCCCCCTCCCTGGCGCGCGGGGCGCGCCAGTCGCCAGGGGCGGCGCTGGAGAGGCGCCGCCAGGGGTCTCCATCGCCGATCCGAGAAATTTGCGCGGACCTCCGTTGTTCGTTCCCCTAGGCAACTGACAGGAGGGGAAAAAAACACACAGACACAATGAATCGGCGATTCCCAGAAAATACGGCAAAATATGGGAAGTGGGGGGGGAAGACAAAAAACCCAGAAAATATGTGAACATATGGGGGATAGTTTTATGTGTGTGTATTTATTTGTGTGGTGTGCCCCAGTTCCCCTAGGCAACTGGCTGGCATGGCACGGCCACGCGGCGGCACGGCACGGCACAGCACGGCACGGCAGCACGGCATGAGTCGGAATGGCACAGCGCGGCATGCGTTTTTTTACGGCATCACGGGCTTGGGTTTTCATCTGGTACATGTGCACACATATTTATTCCATCTATGTGCACACATAGTAATGGGTATGTCTGTGCGCAGTTTGTGCGTTATCTCTCTATGTATCTCTCCGGGTCAGATTCCGCAGAACGTTTCGGACACTGTTGAGTGTACGATTCGGTGTGAAGGAATTGCAATCGAGTGATTCTTAGGCTTACGCCACACCGCCGACCCCTTGTTTATGCCAATCTGGGGGTAGTAGAAGCTGCGAAGGGGTGAAAAGGCGAGTGATATTTGTTTGGTGTCTGTTCGCCGCCACCGCCAGAGGGTCTCGGGCAGTTCCGCGGGGGGGTCCGATCCCAGGAACGGTGCACTCGTGAAGACAAGTACTCCAGATTTCGCAATAAAGGGAGGGGCGTCTCATTTCGGGGGGGGTCTCTTCCAGGCCAGGCTATCTTGGAGGGCCTGGGGGCTCTGGGGACGATGTTTCGGAGGGTTCTCCCACGGGGGAGGTCTGAAATGGCTTGTCTTGGAGGGTCCAGACCCCCTCCCTTTGACCTTGGCGCCTTTTGGGGCGGAAGGCTAGAATTTTAGGTTCGTGGTCCCCGTCTGGAGCCTTTCTTGGGCCCCTCTGTGGGCCCTCTTGGACTGTCTGAAGGCCCTCTTGAGCCGTTTTGAGGCGCTCTTGGGCCGTGTTGGGGCCACTTGGGAGCCTCTCGGGTCGTCTTGATGCCGTCTTGGGGGCTTCTTTCGCCGTCTTGGAGCGTCGGAAGCCCGAAAAAACGCGAAGGCCAAAAACGTTGAAAAAACCAATGGAAATCGACGATTTTGGCCTCTTGGGGCCATCTTGGGAGGCGTCTTGGAAGCTTCTTGGGGCGTCTTGGAGGCATCTGGGGCCATCTGGAGGCCATCTTGACCGTCTTCGAGTGTTTTTTCGGCGACTCGGGGCCCTCTTGGACCGTCTGCAGAGCTTCTTGGGAGCCTCTTCGCTCGTTTGCGGCCCCCCCAGCAGACTCTCTGGAGCGGATGACCCCCCCCGGACCGCGCCGGCGGATCCCGGGGAATCCGGCCGGACCCCCCCCCCCCCCCCTCCAAAACGACCGGACCAGGCTCCGGGGGGAGGGGTTTGGGGAGGGGGGAAGCATCTCACACGCCGATGACCCCAAGGGGTCGGCGGATTTGTTTTTCTGGGGATCGTTGAGATTTGTTCCCCGTGCTCGTCAGCCGCTTGGTTCACGCTCGTTGCATCTTGCCAGCTCTGCCGATCGGGAATGTAATCAGTTCTTCGTCATTCTCTCAGAGAGACAAAATGCAGCTGTGCAACACTGCTGCTGGTCATGCGCGTCTGTCCTCCTGCTACAGTGTATTTTCCACACGCGTGCTCGCGTGCGCGTGAGTTCGTCCGTGCCAGCATTGCAGCCCAGTGCGGTTGCGCTTGCATGTGCGTGTGCATCGTGCGGGATCGATCTTTTTAGCCGGCAGAGGTAATGTGGGCACGTTGGTGAAGTCGGATGCCGATAGCAGCACGAAGGATCGCCCTGCAAGCTAATGCAGCCCCTTCCTTCATCTTGCTTTTGTCTTCTGCTGAGATTTCAATGTGCGAGCTTCTGATGAGGGTAGTGCATTTGCTTATTTCCCTCACGTCCGTGACGAGTACGGCGCTTTGACCGTGAGAAATTTCTCAGGGGATGAAAGTGGCGCCAAAAGGCTGATATTCCGACGTGAGATCAGTTTGAGAAGGAGCGCACTTCGCCATCGCCTGCAGCAGTACGCTTAGACCCGCGTGGAGAGAGAAAGAGTCGAAGGGAGGGGCAGGGAGCAGCAGGTGGGGAGACGTGACAAGCGAAAGGAGGGGATTCCCAGACCCCCTAGAGTCGTTCAACCAAACATCACCCTTTGAGGTTTTCGGCCAGGTGATCGTTTTGTCTTATTCATTGATTTGCCGATCGGCGCGGGCCCTCGGAACCCCCTCCCCCCCACATGGAGTAGATCTTGGTTGTTTGAGGCGCCTGTTTCAAGCAGGTAGAGTCTCCCCAGTAGGACGCACGGTTGCAAACAGTCGCATCAAGCAGAGGTCCGGAGCCAGACCCCCCGTTCTCCCCCCCTCTTCTGCCCAATGTCGAAACGCCGAATACAAACACGTTCACCAGTTTCGGCATCCTGGGGCCCTCTCCCAGCCCCACGACCGACAAGAATCGGCTCGGGATGGAAACCTGGTTTCCCGCGAAGGGGTCGACAGGCCTCGGGGGCTCTGTGCTGGGATGCGTTTGGGCTGCAGCCCAACGCATCCCAGCAAGCGCCAAGGGAGGCGCTCCAAACGATGTGTGAAGCAGAGCGGTCTTGGTGATCGTTTTCTTATTTCGGACGTAGCCCGCATTTGTTTCGCGCGAGGTAAACTGGCTGAACTGAACTGAACAGACTGGTCGCACCCGTTACGCGACTGTTTTATTCTCGGCCGCCAACGCGCAACTTATGGCGCAACCGATGGGAGACGGTTTTATTCTCAGCCGCCGAGCTTCGCAATTTATGTCGCAACCGATAGGAGACGGCTTTATTCTCGGCCACTGAGGGCGCAACCGATGGCGCAACCGATACGAGACGGTCTTACCCTTTGCCGCCGAGAGCGCAACTTATGGCGCAACCAATCGGAGACGGTTGCATTCTCGGCCGCCGAGGTCGCAATCTATGGCGCAACCGTTAGAATACCGTTTTATTCTTGGCTGCCGAGGGCGCAACCTATAGCGCAATAGATAGGAAACGGTTTCATTGTCGGCCGCCGAGGGCGCAACCTATGGCGGAGACGGTGGTATTTTCGGCCACCGAGGGCGCAACTTATAGCGCAACCGATAGGAGACGGTTTTATTCTCGGCCGCCGAGGGCGCAACCTATGGCGCAACCGATCGGAGACGGTTATATTATCAGCCGCCGAGGGCGCAACCTATGGCGCAATCGATAGGAGACGGTCTTATTTTCGGCCGCCGTGGGCGCAATCTATGTCACAACATATGGCCTCTGCCGTCGACCCCAGAGAACAACTATGGAGGTCATGCAACGCACCGCGCAGGCAAAGCATCCACGACATGTTGTATCTTCCATCAGCATGCAATTGCACCATTGCAGATTTCTTCGCTTGGCGTCACTGGTGGCAGCTGCTACGGCCGATCTCTCAACTATTTGTGCGAATTGGACCCATGACAAAATTCACGCGCTCCGCCTCGTTCTCGCGTCCATGTCACGTCGACTGACCTCTGCCAGGAGAAGGAGGATGAGCAGGAGGAGGAAGAGGAGACACGAGGACTAGGTCCTAGACGAGGACGACGAGGAGGAGCTGGAGCAAAAGGACGACGAGGAAAACGAGGAGGATGAGGAGGAGAGGGCGACGACGATCAGGATGGGGAGGAGGACGGGGAGGAATACGAGTAGTTCGAGGACGAAGTGTGAGCATTCGAATGCGTGCGTGGCTACGCCAGATGTATGCTCGCCGTTTGGCTTGGCGGTGGGACCCAAGCGGCGAGCTGTCTTGCGACTCATTGTTCTGCCGATCGGCGCGGGCCCTCGCAGCCCCCTCCTCCCTCCATATGGAGTAGATCTTGGCTGTTTGGGCGCCTATTTCGAGCAGGTGGGGTCTCCCCCCCCCCCCGAAGAGGACGCACAGTTGCAAAACATCGCATGCAGCAGAGATCCAGAGCCAGACCTCCCTCCTCCCCCCTCCCCCTTCCGCCCATTGCCGAAACGCCGGAAAACAAAACGCTCGCGTTCCGCAGCCCAGGAGGAGACCGTGTGTGGCCTTCTGACCGCGCTGAACCTGCAGCAGTTCAAGCACAGGAGCTGGCCGTCGGCAGTCGCGAAAGCACTGAACGCAAAGGCCGTGCGGCTCTTTCAGGGGAGCCCCGGGGACGCGCGGATCCAACACGACGGCCACCTGCCGTGCGAGCACGGAGCAGGCGAACAGAATTTTGCGAGCAGGTTCGAAGCCGTGTAAAACCGAGAGGACTTGCCGATGGCGCCACGGATCAATCGCTTGTAGAATTGCTCACCTCACCCGCAGACGCGGATACGGTGGAAACCCATGCCAAGAAACACCCTGCTTGCCTCCAGGGCGCCCTGGGCTTCTTTTGGGCTTCGAGAGCTCTGCCGTGGAGAGCGCGACGCTCCCGCACCCAAGACTCGGTGGACGTCCTGGGGTCTCAGGCGTGGGCTCCTTGTGGAAGGCTCCGTCTGGCTTGGGCCTCCACTGCTACCCGCAGACGCGGACAGAAGAGTGCGTGGCAGCTCCACCGCCCTTGGGCCCTGGCAACGACTGGGCCGTTTTTTTGCCGGTTCCGCTCTGCCGTTTTTCTGCCGCTTCCGACGCCGTTGTTTTACCGGTTCTGTCGCCGTTCTTTTACGGGTTCCCGCTCCGTTTCCAATCCTGGAGCCGTTTTTGTTGCCGTTTCCGGTCGCCGTTTTTTTGCCGTTTCCATTTTCAAGGGACTTTTTTCGGAAACGGTAAAAAACGGCCCTGCCGTTTGCGGGGCCTACTAACCCCCAGCCCCGCCCGGCCCCCCCTCGGGCCTTCACGGCACGACGTCGAGGACCCACGCCAGGGCTCCTTTCGGTCCCTCCGATGCGATTCGACTCGATTCTCGACGGCTTCCGAGTCCGATTCGATGCGACTTCGGATTCCTGACTGGGGCTCCGAGTCCTTACTGGAGGCAGGCTGGCCCACCGATTTCCGCCGATTCGACTTCTCCCGACTCGGCTTGCCGATTTCCGCCGGTCCTATTCATTTCGATTGCCGGTCCGACTTCTCGATTCGATTCTGGGCTCTCCTGCCCGCGCTCCCAGTGGGGCCCCCCCACCGGGCGGGAAGGAATCGCATTGCGAGCGTGATGATATAATCTGCGCACCCCGAACCAGCCCACACGTGCGCGGCTCGGGACGGGCTCGCGTGGGTGGAAGCCCCCCTCCACCCCGACGATTCGGCAGCATGCTGCCTGATCGTGCCGAAGCCCTCTGAGGGCTTCTGCTCTGCTCGTGGACTGCTGCAGCTATCCGCAAGGGCTTTGCCCTCGGCCGCCGGCCCTCTCTCCATCAGAGTGGAAGGTATCAGAGCCGTGTCGGGGGGGGGGTCTGGGCGCCGTCTTGAAAACATCTAGGAGCACCATGCGGGAACGGACAGGAATCAGCAACAAACAGAGTGAGCTGAGGGGGCCATCATGCAACACGTTGTTACCTTGTGGGGGCCTGCCCCGCGCGAGCCTGGTGCGGTTTGCAAAATGTTCTGGCCTCGGGAGCGCGAATCCGGTGTGTTTTTGCAAGGGATGCCGGCCTCGGGAGCCCGACTTCGGTGCAGTTTCAAGAAGAGCTGCGGCGTCTTACCAGCCTCGAACGTATCCCTATCCCTAAGATTGACACGCCAAAAAAGGCGATGACAATCTTAGGGATTCGCCGTCAAAAATAAGGGAATCCCTAAGATTGGCATCGTGATGAGGAGGTGCCCAGCATAGGGATAGGGATATGTTCCAGGCTGGTAAGCTTCGGGAGTGCGAACCTGACGTCTTTTGCAAGAGCTTCCAGCGTCGGGAGTGCGAGGCTGGCTTGCGTTGAATGGGATTTTCTTTTCGGGAGCGCGAACTTGCTATAATTTTCCAAGGGTTCTGGATCCGGGAGCGCAACTTTAACGGAGGCCTCGGGGGCGCGAATCTCGTATATTTTGAGGTGTGCTTGGATCCCCCTGGGAATTCTGAGAGCTCCGGGAGTGGGTGGTGAGATGCCGGTTTTTGGTTCCCCCCCCTCGCGCGCACAGCAACAACTCAAATTTTAATGCAGAAAGTAGAATTCGTGCAGGCTGGAAAGTGAAATTAGTGCAGGGTGCAGGAAACCTCATCCGCGCAGCATGAGTGGTGGCCCTACAGGGGGGCCAGCGGATAGTTGTCTGCTGCTCCTGGTATCTCATGCCGTTTTGTTTGAATTCGATGGCTTCCGCATCGTACTGCTTGTTATCGATTGTCGCGAATGTTGTGAATTTGAGTTTCTTATTTGGATGCATGCACACTGGAGGTTGGCAGTGGGGCTGAACTCGTTGGTCCGCCACCTTTTTGAGACCTAGAGTTACGTGTCAAGAGTATGATGAGCTTTAGTTTATTCCTATTGCGCTTGTGCTGGGCAGTAGAGCTAAATCGGTGCCGCTCAACAGATATTCACCGCTGCGCACTGACTGATTGTGCGTATGGACTGTGGATCAGGTCAAGACGAGCGAGGACTGAGGAAGGAGGGGACTTATGGATGCAGGAGGAGGAGAAGGATAAGCATCAGCAGCATTAGGAGGAGGACAAAGGAGGAGGAGGAGAAGGATACCCCCCTCCACGGGTCTTGGCCAGCACTGCGTTTGTTTGCTCTGGCGCGCGCAAGTCGCCGCCGGTCGCCAGGCCAAGAAGCACGCCGACGCCGCTACAGCGAATAAGCTGCAGGCCGATCGCAGCCCGTACCACCAGATGCCGCTGTCGCCAGACTCGGTCCTGTGTAGGCGTTCGGGTCGGCCGGGTTCTGGTCCGCATATTCCCTCAGCATTTCGCCCAGCCCGAGGTGCGTCTTGCTCGAGGTGGCCTCGCCCAGTCTCGTCTCGCCAGGTCTCGTCTCGCCTGTGGTTCGTTTCGCCCGCGGTTCATTCCGCCCAGTTTTGCCATCAGCCAGCGGTTTGTTGTGCGTGCGGTTCGTTTTGCACGTTTGCATTGGCGCTCGGCGGGGTCGAAGTGAGACAGCTATTCTCCAGGTCGCGGACGGCATTTGTGGGCATTGTTCTGCTCCTTCTTTCAAGCTTGCCACGGCGGAGTTCAAACATTGGAAACACATACAGTGAGCGGCTTGAATAAGGAACGCTTGCTTTTCAAAAGGGGCTCGGTCGTTCCTTAGGCTTGCATGCGTTATTTATCGCTTCCGATGCGTTATTTATGATTCGTTCATCGTTCCCTATGCGTTATTCCTTGGAAGAAAGGAGCTTCGTTCCTTATTTATCGTTCCTTAGGTCAGGCCGATGACTATATTGTCATTTCAGACTCGCCTCTCTCTGCAGTACGACTCTTCCGCTCTGACCCCTTGTGGCCACCTGTGCCCTCACCACGCACACACACACGACTCACGGGGCCCGCAGTCGAGACGCCGACATCAGGAACACTCGGGGCACAGGGGGCTCGTTTTTCAAGACGGTCCTTAGCTGTTGGTCGGGGGACCTACATTCGTGGCCGAGGCTTGCCGTGGCCAGAAAGGCACGTTGGTTCTTTACTCAATGGTTCTCATGGCAGCACGATGGCTGTACGGTCCGGCCCTGGGATGAAGGCCCGAAAGTTCCGTCCAAGGCTCTTTGGCTCCGCCATCCCTGGGCAGTGAGCTGCCGCCTCGAGCAGTCCTCCTCACGCTGAGCCCTATGCACATGCAAGCTGCGATGGTGGGGGAATGTCGGCATGGTTTTCGGCTGGCCGGTCGAGAGAGGGATGGGGGCGATTATCATTCAGGAGCAGTGATAAGCCCTTTCTCGCGAGGGAATACAGTCAACCCGCGTAGTAAGGATGGGCGCCTTTCCCACATGTACCCTTGTATCCTTGCCTCCTCGGCCCATCCTCAACGGCTTTCGCTGGCCAACCTCGTTGCCCTTCGTGGCCCCGTTGCAGCCCCTCGTGGCTCCGTTGCAGCCCTTTATGGCCCCCTCGCTGCCCTTCGTTGTCTCGTCGCAGCCCCTCGTGGAACCCTTGCTGCCCTTCGTGGCCCCATACATGTATGCCCTTCGTGGCCCCCGCTCGTTCGCGCCCGTGGTGGCCCCATATGCATGCCCTTCGTGGCCCCGCTGTCGCCCATTGTGGCCCCCTCGCTGTCTTTCGTGGCCCCGTTGCTGCCCTCAGCTGCCCCGTCCTTGCCCTCCGCGGCCCAATATACGTATGCCCTTCGTGGCCCCCTCTCATTCGCGCCCGTCGTGGCCCCATGTGCATGTCCCTCGTGGCCCCGCTGTCGCCCTTTGTGGCCCCGTTGCAGCCCCTCGTGGCTCCGTTGCAGCCCTTTGTGGCCCCCTCGTTGCGCTCTGTGGCCCCGCATTATCTGCCCTTCGTGGCCCCCGTTCGTTCGCGCTCTTCGTGGCCCCATACGCGTTCCATTCGTGTCCCCGATGTCGCCCTTCGTGGCCTTCTTCGTGACCTCCGTGGCCCTGCTGTCGTTATCTCTCTCGCTCTCGCTTTCGCTCGTCGTCGTCGTCGTCGTCGCCGTCGTGGTCGGTCCCCTGTCCGTCCCTCTTGGGGTCGGGTTGCCACCGATCAGCGCTGCCGCTGGCCAGGCCGACGGTCCGCGGCCGCCCCGCCGCTTGCCGGGGCCTGGCCTGCAGGGAAGAAAGGTCATCCCCCCAAAGGTACGATCGAAGACGAAGAGGGGGGGCATCGAAGATTTTGGAAATACGCGTTAACGGACAGTCGAGCAGATAAGAGCGAGCAGTCTTAATCTGATTGTTGTTGTTGCGGTGGTTGTTGTTGTTATTATTCTTATTCTTCTGATTATTCTTCTTGTTGTTGTCGGTGTTGCTGGTGTTGAACATTATTTATTCTAAAGAATAATTATTGTTGGGCCCCCTGGTGCGCGCCCCCCCTGCGCCGCCTAGGCCGCAGCTACATTTTCATCATTTTCGTGAGGAAGCCTCAGAAAAGAGGGTGTGTACAGGATCCGGTTGTTTTGTTGTAATCCGCTTTCCCTTGCAAAAAACAATAGAAAATGACATTTCTTGTTCTAATATAATCAAATTTCAAGAATCCCTTGCAAAAAATAAGGTAAAGTGGACATTCGCGCGCGCAAGACGAAATCCTTCCAAAACCTTAGTGTTCGCAGCGATTTTAACATAAAAACATCAAAAAACCAATGGTTTTTCAACAAAAAAATGTCAAAATCTCATCCCGCGCGCTCTTGCGGATTCGTAGGAAACCCAACACTTTTTAAACATTTCTGTCAAACGGGCTTTTGCGAGCAACTTTTTCGAACTTCTGCGACAACGGTTGCGCACCTGCCAGGGCCATCATCCACAACTTCTGCGGGACAATTCTTTTTTCTGTCGCGGGCACAACTTCTGTCGTGTGCCCGCCAGTGTAGTAGCCACGGTCGTCCGCAGGCCACGAAGTGAAGTGTCCGAACGTCATAGGGCGGGAAGCTGGGTGTGGGTGGTGGCGAAGAGTCGTGTGGATATTTGGTAGAGCTTGCACTGCCCCCCCACAAAGTGGGGGTATTGGCTGGCGTCGCATGAAAACCCTGGCACGGGTGAGAACACTGAGCGTTCGGGTAAAGTGATTGTTGTTGTTGTTGTTGTTGTTGTTGTTGCTGTTGCTGTTGCTGTTGCTGTTGCTGTTGCTGTTGATGTTGATGTTGCTGCTGCTGTTGTTGTTGTTGTTGTTGTTGGTGGTGGTGGTGTTGTTGGTGTTGTTCTTGTCGTTTTTTTGAATGTTGTTGTTGTTGTTGTTGTTGTTGTTGTTGTGAAACTCTCATTTCTGAAAAATAATTACTGTTGATCCTCCCTCACCCGTGCATCTTGCTTTTTCTTAATCAAGGTGTGCCCCTCGTCGCTCGCACCCTGTTTTTTGACAGCGGAAGCCTTGATGCTCAAACTGTGCCCCTGGCCCCCGGGTTACAACAACAATGGCTCCCGCTTAAGACTACCTCGCAGTTTAGCCAGGACCCCCGCTCCCGCCCGAGACTTCCTCGCATTTTGTTCAGAAATCCCGCTCTCGCTTGGGACTTCCTCACAATTGATTCAGGAATCGCTTTCCTGGCGCTCTGGAGTCGCGCTCTCGCTGGAGACTTGCCTGCACTTTACTGACGACAAGCGCCCTTGCGTTGGAATCTCTTGCAATTTACTCAAGCGCTGCGCTCCCGACACCCAGGCACCCAGGAGTCGCGCTCACTCTTAGGACTCCCTCATGAATTACCAGGGAATCGGGATCTCGCTGCCTTTCGTGGCCCCGTTGCAGCCCTTCGTGGCTCCCTCGCTTTGTTTCGTGGCCCCGTTGCAGCCGTTCGTGGCCCCCTCGCTTTGTTTCGCGGCCCCGTTGCAGCCCCTCGTGGCTTCCTCGCTGCCCTTCGTGGCCCCGTTGCAGCCCCTCGTGGCTCCCTCGCTTTGTTTCGTGCCCCCCTCGCTCCCCTTCGTGGCCCCGTTGCAGCCCTTCGTGGCCCCCTCGCTGCCCTTCGTGGCCCCATATATGTATGCCCTTCGTGGCCCCCGCTCGTTCGCGCCCGTCGTGGCCCCGCTGTCGCCCTTCGTGGCCCCGCTGTCGCCCTTCGTGGCCCCCTCGCTGCCCTTCGTGGCCCCGTTGCTGCCCTCAGTGGCCCCGTCCTTGCCCTCCGCGGCCCAACATACGTATGCTTCTCGTGGCCCCCGCTCGTTCGCGCTCGTTGTGGCCCCATATGCATGCCCTTCGTGGTCCCGCTGTCGCCGTTTGTGGCCCCCCCCCAACGATCCTACGTGGCCCAGTTGCTACCCTCAGTGGCCCCATCGTTGCCTTCTGTGGCCCCGCATTATCTGCCCATCGTGGCCCCCGCTCGTTCGCGCTCTTCATGGCCCCATGCGCATTCCCTTCGTGTCCCCGCTGCTGCCCTTCGTGGCCTACTTCATGTCCTTCGTGGCCCTGCTGTCGTTCTCTCTCGCTCTCGCTTTCGTTCGTCGCCGTCGTCGTCGTCGACGTCGCCGTCGTCGTCGTCGCCGTCGTCGTCGGCGTCGTCGTCGTCGTGGTCGGTCCCCTGTCCGTCCCTCTTGGAGTCGGGTCGTCGGTCCGCGGCCGCCCCCCGCTGATCAGCGCTGCCGCTGGCCAGGCCGACGGTCCGCGGCCGCCCCGCCGCTTGCAGGGGCCCGGCCTGCAGGGAAGAAAGGTCTACCCCTTACAAGGGGTTCGATCGAAGACGAAGAGGGCGGGTATCGAGGGTTTGGAAATACGCGTTATTGGACACTCGAGCAGATAAGGGCGAACACTCTTAAAACTCTTGTTGTTGTTGTGGTGGTGGTGGTGGTGGTGGTTGTGGTTGTTGTTGTTGGTGCTGCTGCTGCTGTTGTTGTTGCTGCTGATTTTTTAGTTATCTGAAGCAATTATTGCTGATCTCCGGAAACGGTTCCGCTCGCTCTCGCCCCGACGCTGGCTAGATGTTCTCTGACAGCGAGGGTCCCGCGCGAGCATTGGCTTGATTGTACCAGTATGCCCTCGGAGGCCCGGCTGCGACGACCACGGCTCCCGCTCGATGTTTCTTCACAATTCTACCCCGGGGGGCCCTGGCCAGAGAGGCGCCCGCACTCGGGAACAGCGCTGCCACTCGAGACTTCCGCGCAAGTCAGTCGAGTTGGCGGAGGCGCAGCCACGAAGGCAAGGGCTCTGGCTCGAGATTTCCGCACGATTTTTACTCCGGGAGCCCCCTGGCCAGGAAGGCCCCCGAACTCGGGAGCGGCGCTTTCGCTCGAGAATTCCTCGCGATTCCAGCAATGGTGGAGGCCCAACTACGACGACAAGTGCTCTCGTTCGATGCCTCTTCACGATGTGTTCGCACAGACCCTTGCCAGAGGGGCCCCAGAACTCAAGAGTGGCGCTCTGGCTCGACATTTTCCAGTAATTCAGGCAAGTTGGTGGAGGCCCAGTCACGGCGACAAGGGCTCCCGTTCGATATTTCTCAATCTGTTTTCCGAAAGCCCCTGGCCTGGCCAGAGAGGCCCCCGATCTCAGGAACGGCGCTCTCGCTCGAGAGTTCGTCGCACTTCAGTCATTGGCCGAGAAGGAAAATATTCTTTCCGAAAGAGGGTGCGATCGAAGACGAAGTGGGCGGGTATTGGGGGGTTGGGATATACATCGCGCGAAATCACGCGTGCATCTACAAGATAACAGCCTTAAACTGATTGTTGTTTTTTTGTCGTCGTAGAGGTGGTTTTGATTATCGCAGTAGTGGTTATAGCACTCAGTAGTGGTAGGAGTGCTCATGGCGGGGCAGTAGTCGCAGTGGCATGGCGAAGGACGATGTTCGAGTGTGTCGGGGAGGAGTTGGATGGGATGATGGCGGGGGAATCTGCCTTGCCTTGTCGGTGCTGAGCGGCGGGCCCAGCAGCCTGGGGGTGTAGGGAATCGTTGGCGTCGTTGCAGGAGGGTGATCATGATGAGGACTCATGAGATACGGTTGCTGATGATACTGATGGTGGTGGGTATGATGGTGCTTATTGTGTACAAGAATGAATGATGATGGTGGCAATATGGTGATGCTGATGACGATGACGATGACGATGGCGATGAGGATGATGATGCTGACGATGATGATGATGACGACGATGATGATGATGATGATGATGATGATGATGATGATGATGATGATGATGAGAATGATGATGATGATGATGATGATGATGATGATGATGATGATGATGCTGATGCTGATGCTGATGCTGATGATGATGATGATGATGATGATGATGATGATGATGATGATGATGATGGTGGTGGTGATGGTGGTGGTGATGATGATGATGGTACTGGCGATGATGATGCGGATGATGATGTTGCTGATGATGATGAGCATGAACATCATGGTGATGTTGATGATGATGATGATGATGCTGCTGATGCCGATGACGATGCTGATGCTGATGCTGATGATGATGAGGATGATGATGCGTTGAGGAGGATCTAGGGGATCGGGAGGCGAGGGGAGCAGAAGCCTCGAGGCTGTTTCTGCCCCCCTTGTCGGTGCTCTGGCCAGGCCCTCTTGGAGAAGGCGTCGAAGGGCGCCCAGGCACGCATGTGCTCCTCTCTCCCGTGTTTTGGGAGGCACCTCCAAGGCTAGGGCAAATCGAGAAAGTCACAGCATATGCAACATACGTCGAGCGCAATCCATCAATGCTCTTGTCGGGCAAGCGCCAGCTTACCCGAAGAGTGGCAGCCCCGCAGTAACAGCGCGGCAGTTGCCGGCATGCCGAGGAACCACGCGGGAGCATAAGCGAGATACAGAAGGAGGTATGCAATTCATGTAGCGCTCTATGTGTGTATCATCGCTCGTTTCCCTCTCCTCCCTTCCCGTTTCCCATGGGCCGTGGTTCCAACGCCCGTTCTTTGAGCAGGTGAGTGGCTGGCGAATCGATTCTGCCCTTCCTGGACAAAAGGCTTGGCCAGGGACTGCATGGTCGATTCTGTTGACCAGTCCTGGGGGGGACAAACGTTGGGTGCGTGGGAGGGGAAGGGGTGGGGTAGGTACGACCTCTGCTGCTCGCATCTTTTCGGCGTGGATCGTCCTGGGAGCCGCGATGTTGCTTCCCAGCCGCGGGCTGATCGCGCACGTTAGCCTGGCAGTTGCACTCGGTCGAAACAGGCGGGTCGTTGCTCGTCGGCGGCTTGCACCTCCCACGAGAAGAGTTCTGCTGCGCGCAGCCGATCTCGGCGCCTCGGCGGGGCAGACTCCCAGGCACATTGCCCCTCCATGCGTCACCAGGCGCTGGGGAAACCAGCCCCCTCCTCCGCATGATCCTCCTCCTCCTCCTCCTCCTCCTCCTCCTCCTCTTCCCCCTCCTCCTCTTCCCCCCCCTCCTTCTACTCCTCCCCCTCCCCCTCCCCCTCCCCGTGCAGACGTTGGTTCCTTTTCGGGAGACTGGAGCAGGGGTCGGGTAGCCGAAGGGGTTTGGCAGTGCGCAAATCCGGAGGCCCCAAGCCTCCGCGTCTTGGGCAGGGCTCCCAGACGAGTGCGGGCAGTGCCCTCACACTAGCTACAGCCAAGACGCTGACATCCAGCCCGGTTTGGCCTCAGGAGGGGATCTGGTTTGCGGGCCGTGGCCTAGACCTAGACCTTGGAATTCTTGACGCTTCGCGTATCCCCATCAGTTCAGACGACTCGGTTTGGGTAGCGCTGAGACACCTTAGATGTGCAAACTCCTCGGGGTCGGCCGTGTATCGTGCACTTCGACGCCCTTCCACTCGTCGGATCTGGGCTGTCGCATCTCAGTTGTGGAAGGTACTCCTGTCATCATGCTCCACACCCTGGATGCGCTTTCTTGCGTCGCGACTCGGTTCGCCGTCAGCTTTTTCCGCTGGACTTGTCCCCAGTCAGTCTGTGGTACCCGTCAGGCTCCCTGGATCGGTGTCCTCGGGAACTCTCAATGCTGGACGGCCTTCCGCCGTGACCCTGGATCAGTGGCTTTGAGGGACGTGCCTGGGTATTCGCGGTTTCGCCCTCGTGTGCTCTCCGACTCGTTCTGGTCAGCACTGAGACACTGTGATGTGCTCACGCCGCGTTTCGACCGTGTAGCGTGCACTAGGCGCCCTTCCACCCGCTGGGTCTGGGCTGAAGCATCTCGGTGTGGAAGTTTCTTGGCAACATGCTCCACACTTTGGATGCCGTTCTGGCGTCGCGGCTCGTTGCCGCCGTCGGGATCCCGCTGGACTTACGTCTCCAGTCGGTCTGTGCTACCCGTCAGGCTTTGGATCTACGTCCTCGGGAACGTTCCTCTCATTCGCACCTGGACTTTGGGAGCGCCTCTCGCGCCATTTTGGCTGCGCTTGGTCTCCTCGGTGCCTACCTCAGGCCCGTTGGACGCACCGTTGCATGCCCGTTCAGGGGCTGTCTCTGGCTCCTGAATTTCATCGGCTCCGCCGCCCTGGACGCTGTCGTGAGCCGCCTGATCCGCGCCCCCGCGCGCGTTAGGTAATTTAGTCGCGGCCGCGGCCCGCCCGCGACCTCCCGCCGCTGGCGCTTCCGCCTGCGGCTGTAAAAAAAAGTATCCCCATCAGTTCACGTGCTTGCTCTGAGGTGGTCACACCTATCCCAGCGGCGGGGTGCGATCACCCGCTGGCTCCGGCGGGTGGGCCTGGGGAGGCAGGATTCCTGTACAAGTGGTGCAACCTTTGACAGGACTGAGCCGTCCCATGGCACGCCCGTCCCTCCGGCCCCCGGCTTCGCTTGTGACATCGCCCCCTTCCTTTGGACGGACTTGTTCCTCGCGTACGCCAACGACGCCAACGACCGTTTCCACGGTGCACGGCGCACGAGGCCCACGACAGCCCAGCGGTTCTTCCACGGGCAGGTCCGCAGGCCTCCCGCTGGGTGGTGCAGCCGTGGTACCACGCAGCGTTTCCCCCCATCCACAGTGGCAAGGAAGGTGCAGGCTGGGACTCTCACGACTTGGCTGCCGACGCCTGTCAAGGTTCGACGCACCTGTCCTCGAGCACTTGAGGTGCTCTGTGAGTGAGGCTTCCTTCCTTCCCACTCCCCTCGTCGCCTCCTGCGCCTGTCTCCCCTTCTGCTCATCCTCGCCGCGTTTGGCGGTGCCTTTCCTCGGGTTCTGTGCTGCCCGCACGGCGTTCCCGCCTTTCTCGCAGGCTTGGTCTCTTGGGGCTGGCGCCACAGTGCGACCCTCCGCCGGCTTTTCCAGTCTGCTGCCGTCTTCCGTTCCCGGGTCGGCTCTAATGAGGTTCATTTTGTCCCTCGTACGTGCATTGCGGCGTTGGCCTATGTGCCTTCGTTGCCAATCGTCTCGCGTTGCGCCCCTGTCGAGATCGACCCGCTCCCTGGAGCCGTCCTTGGAGCCGCAGATCAAAACAACTATTCCCATCAGTTAACTGTTATGCAGTTTGCCGCCAGCCTTTTCCACTCGCTGGCCCGCCGGCGCGGTGCTGCGTGAGGCTCTGGCCCACCGCTTTAGGTTAATTCGTTTTTGCGCGCCCCGTTCTGACTGGACTCGCCGCTGGCGCGCTCGCCTGCAGCCGCTGACTAAAAAGTATCTCCATCAGTTCTTTCCTGGTCAGTGATTTCTCCTGGCCCAGCTGGTGTCTGGTGTCCTTCGTGATGGTGCCCCTGGCTCATCCTGGTTTCGCCCCCGCGCCATTTTGGCTGCGCCCCAACCCGAGTTGGCGAATTATGCATGCGCTCGCTACTGGACCTGTTTCCTGGCAGCTGCAGCCCGCGCCACCTCTCGCTTCCAGTCCGCCGAGGTGCCGCTTAGGCCTCCGGTTCGCCGGCGCGTTAGGCAATTAGGTTCGCGCGTGGCCCGCCCGTCCTGTTTGACGCCGCCGTCGCTTTCGCTTGCGGCTGCGACAAAAAAAAATCCCCATCAGTTCCGTCCAGGTCCAGGTCCAGGGAGGGGGTGGGGGGAGGGGTCAAGTTAGCCAGCTCGAGCGAGCCAGATGGCTCCGTCCAACCCCCCCGCCCCCCCCCAAACATTAGAAGCAAATGCGTTGCGTCCGACGCCTGTCGCTCATCTTCTATCGTGGGCGGCTAGACGCTCAGCGTTCGACATGAGCTGCGTCCTATTCCTGCAGCGTGTTGAGCAACGTCGACGAGAAACAAGACCGCGAACGATGCACACTGGGTACAGGCTTCCCCGAAGAGGAAGAAGGGGGTTGGACAAGGATCCACGCCCAAAGGCCTTGTGGAAGTTGCTCGTTCTTGCAGGCACTGCGGCACTTGTAGCTGCACTTCGGGACCTCGCCGCCCCCTTGGGGGGCTTGCGATCTGCGCAACCGTCGCCACTTTCGTGGGCTCCTGGGAAACCCAGCGGATGTGCGCCATGCGCGGACCACCTCGGGACCTCGCCGCCCCCGTGGGGGGCGTGCGCGTCCCTCATCAGATCTGCGCCCGGGCCGCGCCCTTCTGTCACCACTTCTGGATGAGCTTCCGCCCCCGTTGTGCACCTCATGCATTCGCCCCGATCAGCGCAGCGCGTTGCTGAGTCAAAGTGGTGTTCTGGTTCAGCCCCCGCCGCCGCGCCCTTTCGCGTCCCCTTTTTGGGCGCGTTTCCTTCAGCGCCCCTGTGCTTCCATGTCGTAGATTTGCCGTTCCTCTCCTTGCTGCGCTCTTGTGAAGTCACTGTTGGGTGCTTTTCTTGCGCACTGCGGGTCCGTCAGGTTGCCTGTCAGCATTGAGTGGTCTTGAGTATAATCGCCACATGTATAGAACGGGTTGGGTACGTCACAGGGTAAGTGTTGTCTTTGTTCCCCCCTTTCCTGCGTTCAGCGCGAATTGTGTTCGTTTAGTGCGCAGGCGCGCTTATCATTTGTTGTGATGGAAATCCACCAACAAACCATTCTGAGTTATGCAGGCGCAATCGAGAGTACTTGTTACTATTCGCGCCTACATGGGAGCAGTGTGTTATCATTGCTTTTTGAGAATTCGTTTTTCGCACATTTGCAGCATTCTGTCGAAACAGCTCTGGTAGCTGTATCCGCGCTGTATCAGGGAAGGCTGAAAGCTGTGCAGGCGACAACCAAGACAATGTTTTCATACGGAAATGGCCAAGCACATAACGCAATCACATGATTCCTGTTACGGCAGAGTTCATCGGAATCATTTTTGTTGCAGATAATATAAGGATTCCGTTTGTGGCGGAAAATGAAACGATTATTCTTTGGCGGAGTGCATAATGATTCCTTTTTTGGCGGGATGCAGACGGGTTCCATTGTGGCAGGGAACAAGGTTTTATTGTCAGTGGCGGAATTCAGAAGGATTCCGTTTGCGACGGAATACATTGTATTGCTTTTATGGCGGGGTACACTGCGTGGCAGAATACGAACGTATTTTTGGTGTCAATTCACAAGAGTCCTTCTGAGGCGGAGTACACAGGATGCTCTTTCGGACGGAATGCAAAATGTTTGCGATTATATATATATATATATATATATATATATATATGCATCGGGAAGGTGCCAAATCCGCCTCCTGGCTGTTTGGCCCCTTTTTTATAACATGGCAGCGCGCGCATGGCGCTTCCGCCGCATTTTGGCACCCCTCACACGTTTTGTGGCCCCATA